ACTATCGCTGAGATATTTTCCCTGGCTATCAGATTGTGCAATAAGAAAGAATTCATCCAAATAACTGATTAAAAGAAAACCTCTCTCTCTAAGAGAATACACTACCTTCAAGATTTTAGAAAATATATATGGAGCCAATGCAAGGCCAAAAAGCAGGACAGTAAACTGAAAAAGTCGGTTCTGAAATCGAAATCGCAAATAGCATCTATCCTCTGGATGTATCGGCAGAAGCAGATATGCATCCTTCAAATCTAATGAAGCTAAAAAATCACCAGGTGAGATAAAGCCGACTGTTCTCCTTTAGATTAAAATGTGGAACAATAATAAACTTATTAAGATGTTTAAGGTTCAAAATAAACCTCCAGCCTCCTAAAGCTTTCTCGATCACAAAGAACGAGGATAAAAATTGTTCCTTAGAATCGGCCACAATCTGTAGAGCACCATTAGCACAAAGTCTAAGTATCTCACCCCTACAAATCTCTTGCTCCCTTTCAGACAAGTCTACGGTAGGCTCAAAAAGCTGCCAAGGTAGACGGCGGCTAAACGGTAACCTATATCCAGTGATAGCCTGAAGGATTGTACTATCCATGGTAATTTTGAGCCACTGAGGGAGAAAAGATGCTAAATTTCCTGCAATGAATACCTGTTCGCTCTCTAATGCCTCCTTGACTGTGATCTGGAGCGATACGGGACTCGACGACTGATTCTCGGCACCCCTGCTTTCCTGATGGCCAATGATTTCGAGCTGGTCGCAGGGGCGCGGGAGTTTCCCGCCCTTTCCGTGAGAAGACCGTTCTGCTGCTTAATTGGTTGCAACACCTTTCTAGATAATGTCAGAGGAGCCTTAACAATATCCTTGCCAGATCTTTCGACGGTAGCAGTCTTCTTCATCTCTTCTCCAAAAGATGTACCAAAAAGAAAATCATCGACAGATAAGGCTTCCGCAGTGGACTTAGCAAGTAGGTTAAAACTTAGCATGATTTGAGCTCGCCTAGACAAAGAGAAGTGAAAGAAGAGATCGGCCAAGATCTTCGCTCTATCATTAATCTTCATACCAGAGCAAAAATTGAATCTAGTTATTGTCTAGTAATGACACAGAAAAGTTGGGTCTTACATAGCTACTAGCTAGGGATGTAACGCTCAATTCTCTTAGTGGCTGTACCAGAAAAATTATCTAGTAGCTGGATACAAAAAAGTAACTTGTAACTATAATTGGTACAGTTACGAGACAGTTCTGATATCCAATTTCTATTCAAGATTTATCGATGATTTTCTATCTCGTTACTGTGTAATCTTTTTCATTTAGCTACTATCTATGTAATTGGTATAGTCACTAGTTAGTCCTGACATTCAAAAGACTGAGTAGGAATAATTAACCAGTCACGAGCTGGTGACTGGTTAGAAAACTTATCTAGTCATTATTATCTAGCTACTAGTCTTGAAATATGTTCTACTAAATACATTTTTACTCGGATAACAGCTGAACATGCTCCTAAAGTAAGTGACCGCTGTATTTTAGGCCTCAAGAGCTCTGAAATTGCCTCTCCGAGTGCACATAAGACGACCACCTGAATGTCCACCTGATCTTGCTTTCCACTGTTATATTCGTCCCTTTTTATAACGGAATTACTCCACAATCCAGACCTTAGCTCTGGGTTTAATTTAGGAGTCTTAAGGAACGACAACAGATCGTAAAGCGAGTACTGAACTTGCTCAACAAAGAATCCCGTTGCTCCACAAGGAGGTCCTTACTAATAAGTCACGCCATTTGCTGGTAAATAAATCGTTCCAGAGCAGTACTTCTACCTTGTCGAGCTCCGAAGCGAATAATTCCTGCGTAAGAGTGTCCTTATTAGACGATATAATAATGCACGCGGTATTGTACATGCACATAATCTCCGGATGCATCTTAAATAATACATGGCCCTTAGCCACCAAATCTGGAATACGCCTTGAATTATTCCAACTCTTTAGAAAGGTTGTGTCAATTTGCCGCCTATATTCTTCAAATATAGATTCGGAAAGATCATACACACCTATATCCCCCTGGACAGATGGCCTTTCCTGACTAGCAGGCGCTGCCAAAGAAAACTCCTCGATGAGAACGGTCTGTATCAAGTTATCCTTCCGGGGTACCAACGGTATCCCATAGAAGGAGGAGGGCGTACTAGGTGGCAGCAGGACGCCGTGCATTCAAAATCTGCATATCTTTTTCGTTCCAGAGAGAGAAAAATATCAAGAGCGCGGTTTTGCTAGGCCGGGACTCGAACCCGGGTCTTTCGCTTGCCGGGCGACTGCTCTAAACCACTAAGCTACCTGACGTTCCACGTTCATGATATTCTCCTCTCCATAAATAACGCTCAGAGATGCCGTTCGGAAGCGACATCTCTGTCGCGATTCCGAGCGCACGAAGACTACAGAGAAAAACAATGTTACTGTACCAAATGGTACAGCTGTCAGTCTCTCAAAGTCAAAGGTTGCTATCCTTTAAGACCTGCTGTTCATATATGCTCCATCGTTGCCCATCCGGTGCAAATAATACAAATAAGCCTCAATATTTCCTCAAGTTGGACCTCTTGATCCACCTGGCGATCCACGAATTGGCCACGGTGGTCCTGAAGCACTCTGAACGATGCTGTATAGAGACGTTTTGGCTGTATCACTCGCGAGCAACTTTCGACTGTTGTCGAGAAAAAATCGCACCTAGACTCGTGCGATTAAGCGAACGAAAGAGACGAGTAACTCTTTCTCTTACGCGATATTAAACTTTAAGACGGCAAAGGAGCGTGTTGCATTTCAGTATCCGGTTCGAAGGACCATGTTCGAACGTACGGGACTCTTCGTCTCGCACGTCACTCGAATAATTGACGATGCGAAAGCTGTGGTATGAACTGCTTTACACTCGCCGAGTTGCCGGGATCTTCAAGAGTTATGAACTATGGTGTCGGTTGCAAATTAAATTGTTTTACTACAGAGGCTGGACAGTGACTCGCAGACTTTACAATTCGCACGATATCTCACCTTACCACCGGTACTTGTTCGTAGAGTGGCACGTGTAAAGCTAAACTTTTAACTTTCGTTCGCTCCAGTAGTGAGAAACGTTCTGCCGTTACAACACGCGGATCATCGCTCAGGTCCCGACGAGAGAGAACGCGCGGCGCTTGCCTATTGGCTAGCTTCTTAAATTGTTTCTTCACATTGTCTAGTCAATATCCTCGCGCCAGATATATTGTGTGACCAGCTATGAAGAAAAACCCATGCAACTCACTCGCCGATAAGAAGTAAACATAATAAGATTTCATTAGATTTATAAACAAAGAATAATCCCGACGTTTCGGGGTGAAGCTCCATTCGACAACTAAACTCTTCGCTAAGAAGCCGTCAAATTTTAAACAATAGGAATGAACAAATACGAATCAAGCGTACTTTGCCGTTATCACTGGTACGTAGTTTATTTGTATTTTCTCAGGGAGCGCATCGCTTATAAAACGCTCGGTGATCACTCTCAGATTTCTCTCTAGTTTCAAAAAACTATTTTTGATTATGAAATTGTTTTCTATTAATTATGACATCTATCGCATCTTCCAAAATCCTCTAATTGTAAAGTTGATTGCGTGAATTATCTGATCGATTGCAAAACCAAGTTATCCAAATCAGTTTAACCCTCAGCTGGAACATTATACCTTCTGTATAAAAAGTACCGGGAAATTGTCATTTAAATGAACCGCGGAAGAGGTAGCGGTAAAAAGTTTTTTTTTTTAGATTGGCACTACCTTCCTTCATTACCAACCGGAGCTTGAGCTCGATCAGTCAACTAGTTTGTTTATGGCAGCTGTCCAAACAAGTCTACCTCAGTGTTGCTCTGCGAATTTTACCATGGAAAAAATAGTCGAACAAAGAGTTCGACTCTTTTCCGAGGGCCAAACAGTCAATAAAGACTATTATTTAAGTGTCTTGAGGCGTTTACGCGAAAATATCCGGCGAAAAAGGCCCGAATTGTGGCGAGACAATTCGTGGATTTTACACGACGACAATGCGCCAGCGCACAGAGCCACAATTGTGGCCGATTACAAGGCCAAAAACTCGGTCAATTCTGTCGACCATCCACCGTATTCGCCTGATTTGGTACCGTGCGACTTCTTTCTTTTCCCGAAACTGAAATTGCCACTCCGTGGTACTCGTTTTTCATCGATTGATGACATCAAAAGGAATTCGCAGCGGGTTCTGAAGGCCATACCAGAATCGGCCTACCAGAAGTGCATGGAAGATTGGTTTCGCTGTTTTCACATGTGCATTGCAAACGATGGGGATTACTTTGAAGGCGACAAAATAAATTTTGATGAATAAATAAAATATTCTGTGTTTTTTTTAACGATTCCCGGTACTTTTTATACAGAAGGTATGTGTCTCCCGATTCTGGTGCACATGGGTGTGCGTCACCCAACGTTTTCAATTGCATATATCTTTGTATGTAATGCATAGAATTTAAACTTTTTTATGGATATATCAAATAGTCAAAAAAAAAGAATGAATGGATGCAAAAATCGAGAAATTGAAAATATTTGAAATATTCAGGAGAGAAAGAAAATAAAACATTTTAATTTGCGAGAAAATTGTTTTTCTTTTGGAAATTCGTAGTTTTGAGGAGAAAATCATTAAAGAGATTTTTTCAGCGGGCTTGCAAAAGTAATCAAATGTACTTGAAGGAAAAATATAATTATGTTGATCATTTTCAAAAAGTATATTTTTTCGGCAAGATAAAGTTAGGTGATTTAAAAATAAAAACATGAATTCATAGAAGAAATCATTTATTTTCGATTATAAAACTCGAAAAACTTGAAAAACCTGAAAAACTTGAAAATATATAAAATATATAAAAATACATAAAATACATAAAAATATTTTAAAATACATAAAATAATGAAATATATTTAATATCAAATCAGAGACGCTTATTCAGACTTTGTTTCAAGTGCCTCGAATTTTGCTTTTTGTTACAGGGATTAAATATGGACTTTTTGATGGAATTTTTGGCGTATTGCATTCGGTTGAAAAACCGAATAATAAAGTACCTCGAACAAATATGCCGTCCATATAACGAAGAAGAAGAGGTAAAAATATATTATTCGATTTCTCGACAATATTATCCGACAATATTGTTAACATTATTATAATTTTGTTATAATTATTTTGTTTTTAGTGGTATCCAGATGATGATCCGTATAGCATGCAACTTCAGGTGTTTCCCTCGACATCTCGACAACATCAAATCCCTATTAGTATGATAATCTCCTATGCAATTATAATCTAAAATGCAATTATAAAGAAAAAACAAAAAAGAATTACAACAATTTAAAACAACAAAAAAATGATCATAATATAGTTAATATCTTCTTGTTTATCAGACATGCGAATGGCACATGTGACCACACAAGTAATATTGACCACGCAAGAACAACAAGAACAAAAACAAGAAGAAAACCAAGAACAAAAACGAAAAGAAGAACAAAAAGACGAAGAAAACCAAGAACAAGAACGAAAAGAGGAACAAAAACAAGAAGGAGAAACGGAACACATTTCAAGTAAGTTAAATATTTTATAAAATGCATAAATTTACTTTAGCTAATGTGTAGCTAAAAAGAAAATACTAATGGTTACCATATTATTTAACAGAGCAATCTGAAGAACCGCTCGAGGAACGCAATACCATCTTTGGTAAATTTAACATTCTATAAAATGCTTAAGTCTATTTATTTTCGTTTTTCGATCATAATATCGATTACTGTTTTATTTTCTAGAGCGGCCACTAGAAACATTATTCGTCAAAGAAAACAGGCCACGTTTTAGTAAGCTAAACTTTCTATAAAACGCTTAAGTCTATTTACATGAAATTTACTAATAATAATTTAATAATATTTATTATTTTGTTTACTAGAGCGATGCAAAGTCAAAATAACTTCCAAACATCCCAAGTTCCCCTCCCGTAAGTTTAAAGTTCTATAAAATGCTTAAATCTACTTGCAAGAATTTTTGTTACATTACGTTCTTTTTTTATATAATTGAAGTCAGAATGCTTTCCATAATGTTTCTATCTTTTTTATTCGTCCATTTTAAACGGTTTTATCCTATTTAGTGTAAGTTTTCGTAGTTTTATGTCATTTATTTATGTCATAATTGAGAACAAAATAATTTTTTACAATTTTACACGTTTTTATCCATAATGCTTTTATAGTTCTGAACGTCCTCTTCAGTTTTGTCATATAACACAATATTTTCCTCTACATTAAATGTGTTAAGTTCTGTTCTCCGATCATAATATAGTTTACCTTTTTGTTTATCAGTACCGCATTGGGCACAGGTTTACGTGTTAGCCTCGGAAAGGAGGGAAGAGTTTAGTAAGTTAAATAGTTTATTAAATATTTTCCGGTCATAATATCGTTGACTATTTGGTTTACCAGCACATCGGACGCTGAAACAAGGTGGCGAAACAGGGCGGCCTTGCCGTTAGCCCGGAAGCCTTGTCCCGGAGTCGATTTAGGTAAGTTTAATATTTATGTTCCTTTTTATGATATAATTTATGTTGATATACTTGCGTACGTGCGTGTGTGTGTGTGTGTGTGGGTGAGTGGATATTGTGTGGATATGGGTATAGATGTGGATATAAGTGTATATGGGTATGCGTGCGTGCGTACGTATGCAGGAAATGCATGGATGCATAAATGATTCGGTAGAGGTTTACGATTATAAGTTACGGAACAAGTAAAGACTGAGGACCGTCACATTATACGCACCCACTCTCACACGCACGCACGCACGCACGCGCACACACACATACACGAAAGAGATGTAAATTCAACCGAATAACCTTCGTGGTACACCTTGAGTAATGCTAATGCCGGCAGTACTATAACTTTCAAGCTTTATAACTCGAAATGTACTTAACGAAAATAAACTTTGTCGTAGTGTTTTGAAAAGCTCTTGACACCAGCATTTAGATTCTGAAATAAAAATAGGGTATTCTATTTTAAAAAATCGATTTGACTTTGAACTCATCTTAAGGACGTCACCCGAGGTCAAACTAATACCTAGACCTGTAAATAGATCTTTTCAAACCTTGCAACTTTTGTCTGAAACGTTTTTCCATATCTAAAGTCGTTTCCGAGTTTCAGAAGTTAGCTCAGACTTTAAAGAAACTCTGTATACAGGATGTCCCGCATAAGGCGTACCAAAAGAAAAATATAAGTAGAACAGATAAAAGTGAAAAAATATTGTAGAGATCATTTTTCGAATAACCACATAAAATTTCAAGTTATTAAATAAAATAGATTAGCTAATCAGAGCGCGCGACGCGACACGCAGGACATATGGCTCGCTGCGGCCGGCGAAGAAAATGGACGATTGTTCGCGGGCCTATCTTATATATATATATATATATATATATATATATATATATATATTTACCAGACATCCTGTATATACAGGGTCTCCCGCGTAAGACGTACGAAAAGAAAAATATAAGTAGAACAAATAAAAGTGAACAAAAATTATATAGGCCATTTTTCAAACAAACACGTAAAATTTCGAGATATTAATTGAAATAGCTGAGCATATCAGAGCGTGGCGACACGGCAGGCGGGACATACGGCTCGCCGCGGCCGGCGAAGAAAATGGACGATTGCTCGCGGGCCTATCTTATAGGCCAGAGGGGTGGGCCGTTTGGCATACTGAAATGAGTAGTTTCGTGTGTGCGTTCGTGTACATGTGCGTTCTCCCATTTTCTTCGCCGGCGAGCCGTATATCCCGCCTGCTGCGTCGCCGCGCTCTGATATGCCCAACTATTTTAATTAATATCTCGAAATTTTACGTGGTTGTTTGAAAAATGACCTATACAATTTTTGTTCACTTTTATGTGTTCTACTTGTATTTTTTTTTCGTACGTCTTACGCGGGACATCCTACACACACACACACACACACACACACACACACACACACACACACACACACACACACACACACACACACACACACACACACACACACACACACACACACACACACACACACACACACACACACACACACACACACACACACACACACACACACACACACACACACACACACACACACACACACACACACACACACACACACACACACACACACACACACACACACACACACACACACACACACACACACACACACACACACACACACACACACACACACACACACACACACACACACACACACACACACACACACACACACACACACACACACACACACACACACACACACACACACACACACACACACACACACACACACACACACACACACACACACACACACACACACACACACACACACACACACACACACACACACACACACACACACACACACACACACACACACACACACACACACACACACACACACACACACACACACACACACACACACACACACACACACACACACACACACACACACACACACACACATACACACACACACACACACACACCCATCCACCCATCCACCCACCCACCCAATATATATATATATATAGCTCTGGTATGGTATATATATATATATATACAAGGTGATTCGTATCATACCAGAGCTAATATATAGCTAGAATAGGTCAGAGTGAGTAATGGAATCGGTATCTTTTCTTAAACAATCATGTAAAATTTCGAGTTATTAAATAAAATAAATAGGCTAATTAGAGCGCGCGACGCGGCAGACGGGATATACGGCTCGCTACGGCCAGCAAAGAAAATGGACAATTGCTCACGGGCCTATCTCATTTGGTAGCTGCTACTAAACGGCCCATCTGTCTGACCTATGAGATAGGTCCGCGAGCAATCGTCCATTTTCTTCGCTGGCCGCGGCGAGCCGTATGTCCCGCCTGCCACGTCGCCGTCCTTTGATTAGCTCATCTACTTTATTTAATAACTCGAAATTTTACGTGATTGTTTAAAAAGACGAATCAAGATCAATTCCATTATTCATCCTGACCTATTCTAGTTATATATATATATATATATATATATATATATATATATATATATATTTATATAAAAAAATACATAAAAAAATATAAATATAAAACGATCCCTAAGCGGTCGCGAAATCTCCCTATAAAGGTTATACTCTTCTTTGGATATTCAAATCACTGTCGAACGATATACGTTCTACAGAATTCGCGTGTCGCGATCTTCGCTTTCGCAGTTTGAAAACGCTTAGGCTCTATTGCTCGTAACAATAGCGTGGGGTCTGCGCACACGATGTCCTTGTTGCAAATTCACTTAGAGTAGGGAAAGAAATACAATATGGAAAGGCTAAATCGAATTAAAAAGGAAAGAATAAGTGTTTCTTAAATGAACTATATAGACATATACGTGTATTATAATGAACTTTACTACAGGACATACTCACAAAAATACCTTAACTAGATTTAATTATTTAATTCAAACAAATTAATAAAATTAGAAGTAATGTACGGCTTAACAAGAGAAAATACAAATTACAATAATAAATAAGGACGTAAAGAGCTATAGAAAGAGGAGGGCGTATTAGATTGCGGCGAGACGCCGTGCGTTCGGAATCTGCGTCTTTTTCGTTCCGGAGAGAGAAAAATATCAAAAGCGCAGTTTGCTAGGCCAGAATTCTAAACCGGGTCTTTCGCTTGCCGGGCGACTGCTCTAAACTACCTGATGCTCCACGCTCACGACACTCTTCTTTCCCTAGATAACGCTCAGAGATGCCGTTCGGAAGAGACATTGATAGCTTTTTTGGATTTGGCCTTAAAAAGATTAGATGGTCGCATTGTTTGTGACTGGTACCAAAAACCCACTTTCTCGGGGAAGTTTCTAAATTTCTATTCACATTTAGCCATAATACCGGCATGGTTAAGTCTTTGATCGATCATGCTCTTAAGCTTTCACACCCCATGTTTCACGAGAAAAATCTTCGTATTGCCATACAGTTTCTCCTCGATAACAGCTTCCCTCTCACTTTCATTTTTCGCATTATCGGTAGACGTATTGGTGGATTAACATCGAACAATGTTTATAAAAAATCTGACGGGGAGGAGTCGGAAGAGGCAGTAAACAGCGGTAAGAACTTTACGGTTCCTTACATGAAGGATGTCGCAGACAGCCTTTCCAGGTTTATAGGAAGATCGAATTATCATATAGCTCTTAGAATCATCAGTAAGCTTAACCATTTCATTCATGGTCACAAAGATCGCTTGACAGAGAGGAACGTACACATGTGGTCTACAAAATTAATTGTCTTGATTGCGACGTATCTTATTTGGGTCAAACGAACAGACAGTTGGATACATAAAAAAACATAGATCTCACATTTCGCGTTGAACATCTCCGTCATCGATCACAAACCATAGACTGCAGTTCGACCATAATTTTGATTGGAAGGATATATTAATTCTGGACAAGGAGCCTAATTATCACAAGCGTCTTATTTCGAAAATTATACATTAAAAGCCAAGTCAACGGCTTAAACTTGCAGTCTAACATTAACGGACTTGATCGTGTTTATTTTCCTCTGCTTGATATGATCCGTGTATGACGATGACTTCTATCAGTTTTATTTTCTTCTCTCGTTTCTAATTTCTAAATACGTTTCTAGTATTTGGATTGCTTGTATTTACGGAGTGTGTTTTTGTGTGAGTGTGTCTCCAATTGTTTTTCTGTGTTGTCTACCTTTATATGCCAATGTTGGGATTCTTGTTCATACTTCGTGTCCCTCAGGTAAAGTCGTTTTGGAACTTTTAAATTTCTAAGGTAAACTTGTATAAGATACTTTTTTTTAAATGAAAAAAAATTTATTTCTTATCATTATTTTTTAATAGCGTTTAATTACTTCACTAAAGCGTACAGTACATAATACCATTGGAGTTAAAAGGAAAATACTTCAGTAAAATTATTTATTACAAAAATATCAAAACATGAGCATTATCTTATCTAAATGTTTAAGATAAAATGGCCATAAGAAATAAATGACCCATACATATTTTATATTCAAGATTTTGTACCTATTATTTTATAAAATAATAAAAAAAACATAATTTGACATATTCACTTTAGTATAGGATATTTAACACATATTATTTGTAAAAAATATAATACACATATAAAATAGAAATCTCTATTACAAAACTTAAATTCTAAATCTAATTTTTGATCAAAACATATTGATAACATAAGATTTAATTACTAAAATATTGAAAGTAAATTTTGAAATATAACGACTTTCGTTTTATAAATGTTAGAATGATAGTCTATCCAAATTTTACCCAAAATGTGAGTAAAAGACGGTTATAATAGTAATAGTTATAAACAAATAGTAAAAACAAAAATAAAAATGTAAGTTATATTACAATTTACATACTAACTTTATGTATCTAACGTTGATTGCGATAGCTTAACTGTAATTTATTCGACATTGCAGCAAGTTTTAGTGGACACATTTACATTTAATGGAGAAATTTTACAGGTAGTCGAAAATAAAAATGTGTATAATATTCATAATCTTGCTATTTCGAAAAATATATGCATATACACTACGATAAATATCGATTATCTTTGTGACTACACGCAATGTTTTGCAATTATTAGAGAAATTACAGTCTGTAGCGATCTTTCCAATATGACCATAATACCCGAGTTTATCCTATATATTGACTACTGGAGTGCTGGAGTTTTTCCTTATTTTATAACTTTATACTTTTCTGTGATAAGAAAGTAATTATTGCATTAATTGTAATTTTTTACTTTTTGAATATTGGTTTTTGTGCGATATTTTTCCTTTCTTCTTTTTTCTTTTTCTTTCTCTTTTATTTTGTTTATTTCGTAGTTTCTTTACATAGTTTACGAACACCGACATGTCAAAGGGGGGAACCACCCGTGACAGTTTGTATATCGCAGACAAGACACCATCATCGAGCGACTTTATGACGTAAGAAATTATATTGATCGACTTAAAACTGAAGAGGACTACATCAAATGGTCGAAACGTTTTTTATGTGATTTTAATAAATATTTATGTGGCTCATAACATTGGCAACTTTGGCTCTTTACGTCCTTATTTATTATTGTAATTAATTACCGTAAAATGGGGTTACTTTGTGACAGATTTTAAGGTTTTTGTTACACCAGCTGCTGAGTTTTCAATGTAACTCAAAATAAACTATTGCACAATATGTATACATCCTTCTCCTACATAATAGTGTATTACAAGGTTCCACATTTTTAAGAACCACAGAGAAATTTCGGTTGAAAGTTGTCACAATGATGCCCTGCCAGGTGGGGATACTTTGTGATAGCTTTACTTTAACCTTAAAAAACAAGAGGAAATATCATTGTCACAAAGTAAACCCATGAAACGTTTATTGAAAACTTGGTACAACATCCGTAAATGTTACTTGTACATTAGCGGAAATTAACGTGGCCCGGCAGCTTCCGGCTGCAGCCCATAGATGGCATGGTATGTTGGGCAAGATTTTGGCGCAAATTTTAGCTTTCCTGTTATCATTGTCATGGAGCGAGATTCAAAATACAAAAAAATGTCACTGTATCACAAAGTAACCCCATCTTACGATATTTAATGTATTAAGACAAAGCTCGGAATTAGTTGCCCATTTCGGCCGATTCTCGAGAACTACGCCTTTTATCGCGGCTTTAAGCTTGGAGGCTTGACCATCACTTTGGTAGCCCGCTCGCGGCAAAAGAAAGATAGAAGGCGTAGCTCCTGAGAATTGGCCAAAATGGGCAACTAATTCCGAACTCTGTATTAAGGGATTCTACAATCTAGAGTTTGATACTCGCAAAGGTTTAGAAGATATCTAAATATCTATAATCTAAGGTTAGTTGTTTATAGGGAATTAGAAAATTCTACAATCTACAGTTATCTATCTCAAAGAATTTAGGAAAAGGGAAATTGATAAAGTACGCGGGGTTGTTAAAGAACTAGCGGCTTTCCAGTCGATATTGGAGGCTTGAGCGAGGTGAGATCTTCCACTCGACTATTGCTTCCAACTCCCGACTCCGTCAGACTCAACCAAACCACCTCTCCTTTTGTAAGGTCTCTGTGATCCCGCCTTTTGGGAGGTAAAGGAGGAAAGCGTATTAAAGTGGCGGCGGGACACCGTGCGTTCGGGATCTGCGTCTTTTTTCGTTCCAAAGAGAAAAAAATATCAAGAGCGCAATTTACTAGGCCGAGACTCGAACCCAGGTCTCTCGCTTGCCGGGCGACTACTCTAAACCACTGAGCTAGGCCACGTTCCGTTTTATGTATATGCGCGCATTTATCTATAGTTTGTATTACGTATATTGTAGGCAATACGCGCATAATGCGTGAAACGGAACGCAACTCTACATGACGCTCCCTAGATAACGCTCAGAGATGCCGTTCAGAAGCGACATCTCTGGCGCGATCCCGAGCGCACGGCAACTATAGAGAAAAACATTTCCTACGATAGCGACGTTATCTAAGATGTCTTCCCTAGAAGAGGAAAGGTTTTGTACCTGAAGTAGCTCAGGTAGAGAGTGATGGGACAAAAAAAAATATTATCGGCTGGATGCCCTATATACTGTATATGTTGTTACGTTTTCTAAGATGTGATATACTTTGCGGCGATTTGCTTTATCATCGCTTCGTCGGTATTGACTTACGAAAAGCAAAATTGAATGCCTGATTTTTATTACGCGGTTACGAAAGCAGTATTGCAGTTTATCAAATGTTCTCGTGTTTTTTAATTTTAGAGCCTCTCATCTACGAGCAACAATAGAGGAAAGAGAAGCCAGGGCAGAGGGACAGAGCAAAATGGAAAAGAAGCACATGACAATTAGCCAGAAAGAAAGGAAGAAACTACGGCAAATGAGGAAGACAGCTGATAAAAATCAGAAAATGGATGTAACAGATTATAGAAATGTCTTGTTTTAATATGTCTTTTTCACTTTTTCGATCTATTTAGAAATATCTCAAAATTACTGTGATTGTAATTGTGATTATAATTGTAAGATAATCTTGATGGAAGCATTTTATTCCAAACAGTACAAGATCTTCAAGGAATATCCTAAGACTTCCCTTATAGAAATATCATACTAAGAATCATTGATAATTACTTATTATCCAGTATTTTTAATACTAAAAATAAGTAATTATCAATGATTCTTAGTATGATATTTCTATAAGGGTTATGCGGACATTTAGAAGTCTTCAGGATATCTTTGAGACATCTTTGAAAGATTGTGTCTGGAATATATAAGAATCATTGTGATTGTAATTGTGATACTACTGTATACTACTGTGTAGTACTACACATAATAATATTACTATTGATATTCGACTGAAAAATATGTTAGAATTATTATAATTGTAATTGTAATTAATCTATTAAGATCCAAGCGTCCAGAAACACTTTTTTATTTTTAACTGAAGGTTTCTTTCCTTAAAACTTAATTAATATTGATGACAGTTGGTTTCTTATAGAATTGAAGGTCCAGTTTTTATATGCAAATTTTTATCCAATTTTTATATACAAATTATGATATCTAATCTTAGAAAATCCAATGTAGCGGATATAAAAGAGAATAGATTTTAGAAAAAATAATATAATTCTAAAATAGCTCATTTCTAATGGAAAAAAAATTTTTGTTTTAACTGTAGTATGTGCAGTCACAATAGTTTTAGTTTGAAATTATAATAAAATGGTCCAGTAATTTCAATATGGCGGCTTTAAAAGGGCAACTTGCAATTAAAAATGATGAATATTTAGTATAGCATTAAGAAAGAAGTGATCTTTAGAAATTTTTAAGTTGCTGATTACGAGTTTAACCCTCAAGTTTCACACTCCGACCGCGCAACCGTAACTTCTATATTAGTGCAAATTTAACTTTTGGTCCTTAATATTTTTGTGAAGGATAAAGGAATATTAAGTTGTTATATATGTTTTTTTTATAGAAAATTTTGTGGGGAATTGAGCGGTTAAACTCAAATTGCACGACAAATTTTTCTTTCATAACGAAAATTAAAGTTTCGTAAGAGATATTTTTGAAAAATGATCATTTTTATTTTTTAACCGTATTTTTTTCTTTATATTTAATTTATTTAATAAAATTTAATTGCTTATATAGATTTTTCAAGTTAACAAAATGTACTTGAAGAAAAAATTATTAGAAATTGAATTAAATGATAGGAAATATTTTTTTATATTTAATTAAGTGATAGGAATTATTTTTCATGAAGTTGGACTTTTTTTAGAAGGAAAATAAATGAAAATACGAAACAAATGTAGGAAAATATCGTTTAATTGTTGCACATTCTACATATAAATACGAGACATATATGAAAATACAATTGTATTCTTAAGAAACAATAAGAGAAAAAATATTTTACATTAAAAATAATAACATTGAAGAAATAAATATAAAATTTCACGGACACTAATTCCGCGTATTCGCTACTTTACAGGTGCGAATTCGCACCAACTTGAATTTTCACAGTCACTACTTTGCGTGTTTCAGCAAGAATGACTCCAGTAGCCCCCTATTCTGTAACTCGTTATTGGAGTTAACAACAGTTTCGTTATCGTTG